GGTGCAGAAAAAGTAACCTTTTTAGGCTATCAGATGAGCGCGACCGGTACGCACGCACCTGAAGCAAGAATTCGTGCCTTAGTGAAACACCCACTGCCTGAAACAATGAAAACATGTGAATATTCTTGGGCATGATAAATTATTATCGACGTTATCGCCGACGCAGCCAAACACCAAGCACCGCTTATCGATGCCGTCACCTTTACAAACATCAAAGTTGTAAAACCATTTCCATGGATATCTTAGTTGGAGGAAAGTTTTGAAGACTGCAAAAGGAGTCTGTTCCAAGCAACTGTCTTAGTACACCCGGATTGCAACGCATAGAGAGATAGAGAGAGAGAGAGAGAGAGAGAGAGAGAACTGACAACAAAGTGGCAGACTCAATGTCTCGAATTTAGTTAATATCTCTCGAAGGGGACTATATTATCGCGTTATCGAATTATCAAGAGGGGGATTCTGAATTAAAACAGTATGACCGGAGGTTTTCGGGATGGCATGAAGCATGGCTTATAACATCAATTACTGCTGATGAAGTTGGAGAAACTTTTGTTGCAGTCTAGATATCGCGGTTTGAAATACCGAATGTTGTGAAGGACTGACCAAGGAAGACAGTTTGAATCTGCATAGTTCTTGCGTTTAATAAACCTCTGCGCAACAAAACGAAGTCGAACCACTGGTTACCATCCATGTGCCAACGGAATAGTTAAAAAAATGCATCGCAAATTGAAGGATGCGCTAATGTGTGGTTCTAATACTTGGGCGAAAGCATTACCGCGCGTCCTCCTAAGAATGAGAAGCACTCTAAAGTAGGATTTAAAAACCTTGCCTGCAGAACTGGCTTACGGAGAACCATTACGGTTACCAGGTGAGCTAACTACGCTCCAGAAGTTTACGAAATGTTCTACAGAGATAATGGAGTTTGTACCAGACTTAAAAAAGAAAATGGAAATTATAATAAGTATAGTAAATTCCTGCATCTCACCACATGCGGTTGTAAAAAGATTTCGCATTGGCTACCCACGTCTTTGTACGTGATGACAGAGTAAGGTATTCTACAACAACCATTACTGGTCCTCACGCAAATCTTCAGAGTTGGGACAACATGCTGAACTTAGCCGTCAATGGTAAAGAAGTCACTGTAAGCATTGATCGTGTAAAACCGGCTTCCATTGAAAATAATGAAGTAGACAGACAAGCTCTCACTCTTGTGGTCCCAGCAACCGCTAACTCCTTTAATCCAACCCACCCCTAACAACAACACAGTTACGTCATCCGAGACTAAATTAGCTAGAACAAGATCTGGCAGACGTATAAGGTTTAGAGATATTTTAGATATTTAGCAGTTTTTTATTTAGCTTTAATTAATTGTTTTCAGCAAGGAGGATAGTAAGCATCCATATTAGTCTGGGGGGTAGTGTGGCGAAACGCCAAGCTGCCAAAGCACAAAGTGCCTATTGGTCTTTGGGCATAAAGTTTACTGCGAACTACGCAATTTGTAAAATAGCTATTTCAAGCTGTTGCTGCTCAATAACTTGTACTATCATTACTTCGAGTGAATAAAAACACAGTACCAGCACCAACCATATTAATATAAATATAATAATCGGTGCAATATTATATATTTATGCTAAGTCAAGAAAGACATTACCGATACTAAAAAAACTAATCAATATCTTTATTAATTTATTGCACTTCTTACGTAACTTGTTGCGAGATAATAGTCTATTATTTTGGAAGAGGCTACTGTAACTGTTATGTTAAACTAACAGAAACAGATGGATGAGCTTCTTATTTCTTACTTTACCTACTCTACTACCCTACCCACATTGATGTCAAATGACAAGACATTTTTGCCTTTGGTTTTGCATTTAAATAGGATGGAAAGGTTGCTCATACAGCCTAGTCTGATGTGTATTTTGTTCACTAAATTCCTTACAATTTGCTGATGCGTCACATCGTGGAGTTTTTGGAAGATTTTGACGACGTCTTACCCAGCAGCCAGTTGGTGTTGATTGATAGTCTCTCAAGCGCCTAAGCAGATAAATAACTTGTGATTTATATCAATATCGAAGCACTTGTTACATCGTTTTCTAATAAACTAATTGTTCACATGTGCAGACATTTTACACACAAAATCGTATCACTTCTGCTTATCAATAATCACTTCCAACCAATATTTAAATGGTAGTAAAGTTCAGGCGTGGCAAACTACAAGCGGTTAAGTTTCCCCCAAAACTACTAACCACGATTACACAAATGTAGTAATTTTTTTGTTTTTTACCATACGAGCTTTGGACATATAGGCAGCGAGCACTCATAACGTAGAAATCGACTATCACATCCGTAAATTGCTTCATATTTTACGAATTTCAACAACCTGTTCGGTATCGGGTCGTGGTCTGAGAGATCATGACGCATTTTTCATGAAGTGTTTCATGCATCATGAAACTTTTGTTGAAAAGTATCAGTTCACTCAATAAGCAGATATATCACAATTTGCCTGACCTACCTGGGTACACTTGGTACTGCACATACAGGTAAGTCTTAAAAATGTTGCCCAAAAAAGTATTTGATTCAAATAATTACAATGACTATCCGTTAGCTAAGTTGATAAAGAATTAAGAAAAAAATGGCAGACACTTCTGAAGGGGCTGACATAGGAGCTAGTTTGCTCCTATGTTCTATGTATGTCCTATGTATACCCAAAGTTGTATTTTCAAAAATTCCAAAAAAAGTGTTTGATTTAATCTGCCATTTTTACAGCGTGTTTATTATATAGTATAATAAAAATTTATCACAAAAGGGTAGACAATTTTTCCGGGGGTTAATAATTTAACAGTATTTAAATAAATCTTGCGTGGACAGGAGACAAAAGTGCTACGCGTTCTAATGAGTGCGACAGAGAGCGACAGTCGCCGATTTGCCCTTAGTCATTCTTCGCGCTCCCATTAGCTGCGGATCACGTGATCTTGCAAAGATATGCATAGGCGTGATGTTACACATAATTATATTATATAATATATTGTAATATATTATTTTAATTATATTGAAGTTATACTTCTTTTGGGGCGTTAGGGAAAAATGATGAGATTGAATATTTTACGAAGTGCGCGCACACCAACACATAAAAACGACACAATGAAGTTATTAGGATGCGCGCGTACACTGACACCATAGATTACCCCCTTAGGGTGTAATCTGTGACTGACACCTAAAAGCGACAACTTCTGTGGATGATTGTCTTTTAAGTTGTTTTGTTATGCTAAAGAAGTTTAACTTCCTACGTGCGTACATAAAGACACACACAGTTTTTTATATAATTTTGATACTTACTTTAAATAATGATTTCTTATATTTACGCGAACACTACACATTGAATAAAACTATTTTTACGGATTTTATCGCGTTTAATTAACTTATTTTATATTCCCGACGTTTCGGTTGCTTTCCAGCAACCGTGGTCAGGGGGGACTGAGGTGATTGACGTCCCGATCGGGATTAAAAATAGTTTTATTCAACTTACTTTAAATATTTATATATTGTAATCTATATTTTATTAGATGAACATTTCTAGAAGTAGATAAAAATGAAATTTACTTACATGCACAGCAATAATTACAGCTAATGGGTAATTTTTTTTGAGGCGAACAATTTTTTGTAGTTTTTAGTTTACGTCCACTTAGACAACTTTTGACAATACGAGTTTTTCCCATTATTGTTTATAACATTTTATAACTATCACCACTGTAATAATATAGCTATATAAAAGTGACTAATAATTATTAAACAAAAAGTCACACTAATAAAATCACGTTATCTCACAGCAGTGTTTATTTAATTATTTTAGACTACGTAAATGGTTAAGGTTTTGTATACTGCCATTTTACTAACAACTCTAGTAATGAAAGTTTTTAAATATTTGAACTCAGCACACTTCACTCTGTCTACAACAGCTATGTTCATATCATAGTTTTTCAGACGACAGCACTATGGTGGTAGGTTTTGGAACCTCTATTTTCAGTATACCGTTGGACACTTTTTCAACTTTCCCCCCATTCGAGATGGTTCTCCTTACCTCTATACTCCATGGCCCATGGAGTATATGTGCTAAGGCGGCGCGAGACAAAGGCAATTTTTTTTATTTATTTAAAATGTATGGCTTGGATGCTTATCCTTTAAGCCATGTCGTCATTTATGTCAGTATCAAGTGATCATAATCCTATATAGCACACTGCTTCGCAATATGTTGATGCGTCACATTGCGCATCCTTTGGGACATTTTTGACGGCAGCTTGAGTCAACAGATAGTTGGCGATAGTATCTCAAAGCGCCTAAGCAGTCACAATAAGTTGAGATTCACTTCACCATCGGACATTTGTTTCACCGTTTCTACTAATAGTTCACATGCGCTGACATTTAATACACAAAATGGCACCACTTTTACTTGTCAAAATCCACTTCAAATCATTATTTAAACAATAATACAGGAGCAGCAATCAGCTCCCGGTCAAGTTCTTGTCAAAAACTCACACAAAGGCGACCGTTCTAAGCGAACAGACTATGCTGTACCTCTTTAATCTATGTTTGCTGAATTATAACTAAATTAACCTATAGAACAATAGTATATCTGGAGCTGTAAACTAATTCCGATAGTATTCTGAAGTGGTCATTGAAGTCGAAATTGGTAATGAGAATTCATTACCGTTACCGTTACAGCCTATCAAAATTGCACCGCTGAACATTGGTCTTCCCCATAGATTTATAGGGGGCATATTTGCTACACTTGGCAGGCGGGTTGACAACCGCAGTTTTTTTTATTTAGAGAATTTATTAATTTACCTTAATGTTAGTAGTAATGTTTGGTGAAACATAATTTAATACGTTAATAAAGTTACACGTGCTAAGAGCATAATTAAAATAATATATTTTAATTTATAGATCCATTATCAAAATACATCTGAGATGTTAAAAAACACAGTTTTAAAACACTTAAATGTCGGTTAAAGTATATGTCGAGGTTTTAGTTTAATGTGGACTCCATCTTGTGTTCTTAATATGAGATCCGCTGTTAATTCTGTTTCTTTATTGGACGGCAGCAGCTCGAAATGTTTGATGATGCCGGATAATGTTACTTTCATCTCAATCATAGCAAATTTCTGACCTGTAAATCACAATTTAAATTGATTTTTAATAAATATAGATAAAACATAATTCCCCTCAAGTGTAGTGTGCCGCTAGGCGGCAATACGAATACCATCCGAGTCTGAGTGACATTTGCGTAACTTTATTGCCTCTGTCTACGTTACGAAGCTATGTATTTCTTTCATTCCAATGACATAAACTACAGATATGACAAAGCTGACAACAAAACACACAAAAACGCTACCATTAAAACAAATATAATTGTATTTCTGATCTGATTATATATATACTAACTATCACTTTCATCATCATCATCATTATTACAGCCCTTCACAAGTCTACTGCTGAACATAGGCCTCCCCCAAGGAATGCCACAAAGCACGGTCCTGAGCCACCTGCATCCATCGACTTCCCGCATGTCTCACCCGGTCGTCACTCCATCTAGTGGGGGGTCACCCTACACTTCACCTGCCGGTACGAGGCTGCCACTCGAGAACCTTTCTTCCCCATCGGTTGTCGGTTCTTCAAGCTATATGGCCGGCCCACTGCCACTTCAGCTTACTAATCCGTTGGGCTATGTCGGTTACTCTGATTCTACTGCGTATATACTCAATTCTAAATTTATCACGCAGATGATGTTGATGATTTTTGTTTTGTCCATGTTCATCTTAAGACTTATCCGTTGGGAGACACTATTGAGGTCATTGAGCATAGTGCTTAGGTCCTCTAGCGATTCTGCCATAAGGACTATATCGTCGGTAAATCGAAGGTGAGTGATGTACTCGCCATTGATGTTAATACCGTATCCTTTCCAGTCCAGTAGCTTGAAAACGTCTTCCAATGCAGCGGTGAAGAGTTTCGGGGATATAAGGTCACCCTGTCTTACACCTCTCTGCAGTTGGATAGGTTTCGTACTCTGATTCTGTACTCGGATAGCCATCGTAGCTCTACTGTACAAACACTTCAGCACTTCGATATACCGACAGTCAAGTTGGCACCGCTGAAGGTGCTGCAGCGCCGCCCAATTTTCGACGGAATCAAAGGCTTTCTCATAGTCCACATTCGCAAGGCAAAGTGGCAGATTATACTCCTCAGTCTTCTGTACAATCTGCCGCAGGGTATGTATGTGGTCCATGGTACTAAAGCTTTTTCGGAAACCGGCTTGTTCGGGAGACTGGAAGTCGTCAAGTCTGCGTGCGAGACGATTCGTAATGACTCTCGAAAACAGCACGTAGACGCGGCTCAGAAGGAAAATCGGTCTGTAGAGAGCGTTGTCGCCTTTCTTGAAGAACAAGACCACCGCACTTCTGCTCCACGCCTCCGGAGTAATGTCACCATGAAGGACGGAATTAAAGAGCTTCTGAAGGACTTCAAGTACCGGTTTTCCACCCGCTTTCAAAAGCTTCGCTGTAATGTCATCCTCGCCCGGGGACTTGCCGTTTTAAGGTGCTGGAGAGCCATTCTAATCTCGCTCAGACTGACGTCCAGGATATCTTCGGAATAGTGTCGGATAAGACTCGCTCTTGGATCGTTACTTACACTTGCGTGTGGCTCCAACGATGACGTGTACAGCTATAGAACCTCTCAATCTCAGGTGTCCCGAAAAAGATGCTGCCACACTCGGTCTTCAGCTTTGACAGTTGGCTCTTTCTGATAGATCTCTGGCAAAGACTTTGGAGCCTTGGTTCCGCTCGATCGCTTCTTCAATACAAGCTGTATTGAAGTTGCGCAAGTCCCGCCGTATGCATTTGGAGATCTGTCTGTTTAGTTGCCTGTATGCTGTCAAATCTGTTGAAGAATGTAGCTTCGTCTCCCGCATAACAGCCATGAGATTAAGAGTGTGATCGGAGAGCTTGCACTTAGCTCCGACCGCATTGACAGTTTCCACGAGCTTGTCATTCATATCGTCCTCTTCATTGCAGTCTTCTAGGCACTGAAAGCGGTTTTTTAACTCGAGCTGAAAGGTTTCGGGACTTTAGAACAGAGCACGAGGGGGACGGATCGTTGACTTCATTAGACGAGACCTCTCCAACTTAACGTTTAGGTTCAGTGTGCCTCTAACCATTCGGTGATCGCTACCAGTTTTTACCCTCGCGATCACGGAGACATCACTGAACAGTTGTCGTCTGGTCGTCTTAATGAAGTCAATCTCATTTTTTGTCGAACCGTTGGAGCTTGACCAGGTCCACGCTTCTAGAAGAAAGAGTTTGTCATAAAGAGTCCCTCTTTCTCCATGAAGTCGGCCAGCTGCTGGCCCCTTGGGTTGCGTTGCTCTATTCCAAATTTCCCTACTTTCAGTTCACCGTTCTCTCTTGTGCCTAGTTTTGCATTGAAGTCTCCCATTAACACCGTATAGTGGGTTTTGGAGGAATGCATGGCTCTAGAGATATCCTCATACATTTCCTCCACCTCCTCATCGGGATGTGCCGAGGTTGGTGCGTAAACCTGTATGACCTTCAGCGAATACCGTTTGGTGATTCTGAGTATAAGGTACGCAATCCTCATCGACACACTCTCAATCTTTACAACGTTGTTAACGAGAGACTTGTAGACAATAAATCCGACACCTCCTTGGGACAGATGGTCGCCCTCGCGGTGATAGAGCAAGTTGCCGGATTCGAGGATTACCGTGTCCTTCCCCTCTCTTCGGACCTCGGATAATCCTATAATATCCCAGCGTAACTTTTCTATCTCTTCTTCCAGCTCCACGATCTTCTCGTCAGTCCTCAGGGTGCGTGCGTTGTATCTTGCCAGGTCGAGTCATCTTAGGTGGCAACCGAACCTCCACCGGAGATTCTTAGCACCCCCAGCCCCGCCGTTAACATGGTCGCCACCGTAGCCAGGAATAGCGGGGCCGCTGGGGACTGGGGGCCGTCTCTTGGTTGTTCTAATCATTGGGGGGTATTTGCCATAGTTGCACGCTTGGCAAGCGGGTTGGCAACCGCAGTTTTTTTAATGTACGTTTGCTGTTATCAGGAAGATGCTGCTGCCCATATCCTGTCTGTTTCCCTTTGTCGCCTATTACGACACCCACAGGAGGATATGGGGTTGTGGATATTCTTAACCGCCACCACACGGCATATTCAACTATCATTTAACAAAAGGTAATCAAATAGTTCGATATCTGAAAACGGCTTTTTATATGAAAATTTCATAATATAATTACGGTTATGTAACCGTAAACATAATAACCGTTTTAACCGCTAGGATTTGTAGAGCAAATCTTAACCTTTCACGGTAATTACTTATTACTAGTATCCACCTACTGCATTTTGATTACAGAACTTATACAATTAAATTGTGAGGACATAAGCCGCTTTTACACGACACGTTCTTGCATTCGCGATCGTGAGTGATTGTTTTTATCAATTTTTATGTGCGCTGACTCTTTCACGCGCTGTTACTCGTCACTGCTGCATTTTTATTCAGAGAGGAAAGAGCGTCATGTTAAGGCTAATCGCGCATGATTCAGTACGGAAACTTCCGAGACCAGCCGGGCTATTCACAATCGTCTCGGAAAGCGAATTCGACTCGGATTCGATAACTTCTCGCACCGAAACCAATAAACGCTATTCACATTTAACGTTCGGATAAAGGTCACTTAGATACATCCCATAACTATGTATCGTCTTTTAGTTACATGCATTTACGAATTTTGTAGATAAATAGGCTTTTGTATTTTTTTAGAGTAACGCCTAAACAAAAACATAATGCAATATTTTGGTGTTAGCCATTGATATCGAATATAAAAAATATATAATTTAACTATATAATAAATAACAAAAAACTGAGATATGTCTCGTTTCTGTTGGGTCTGGGTTTTTTTCTATGGGGCGTGACCGTACTTCTTTGACGTTTTTTTTCGATAATTGTGACAGTTTGCATCGGAAACTTTACGAGAGCTCTGAGGCTGGCGAAAACTTTTCGAATATTGATGATTAGAAGAGATAAATAAACCCTTTTAATTATAAGGTAGGTAACAAAAATTAATTACAATTATCTATAAGACGTATTTTCATATAATTACTTCAATATTTGCACTTAATCGTAAAGCTGAATTTTTGTGAAAGGTGTGTTTTTATAAGTTTTCTATCACAAAGCAGCATATATATATATATATATATATATATATATATATATATATATATATATATATATATATATATATATATATATATATGCTGCTTTGTGAAACGAGACATATCTCAGTTTTTTGTTATTTATTATATAGTTAAATTATATATTTTTTATATTCGATATCAATGGCTAACACCAAAATATTGCATTATGTTTTTGTTTAGGCGTTACTCTAAAAAAATACAAAAGCCTATTTATCTACAAAATTCGTAAATGCATGTAACTAAAAGACGATACATAGTTATGGGATGTATCTAAGTGACCTTTATCCGAACGTTAAATGTGAATAGCGTTTATTGGTTTCGGTGCGAGAAGTTATCGAATCCGAGTCGAATTCGCTTTCCGAGACGATTGTGAATAGCCCGGCTGGAGTGTATGAAAATCACGCAGTTTTGTTAAGCGCGCGTTTCGAAGACTGGAGTTCTAAAGAAATGGACAAAAGGATTAGAGAAAGAATAATACACGATCTAAGCATGTATTCACAAAGAAAAAAAAGATTAGTGTGGGTAAAGTAATATAGACAACGATTTGGTAATTTCCCTCTAATACAAGAGTTGCGAGAAAATTACCCGCGATCCTTTCAAATTTAAATTTTTTTTAAACAAATTCTCTGTTGGCTTGAGATATTCCGTTATCCTTGCAAAAGTTGACAAATTTTACAACGACACTCTTTTTCACAAAGCCGTGCGTGTAAATTATGTTTGAAGCATACAAACTTGAACGCATAACTAGGTGTGAGTAGATGCGCTACCAGGCGGCACGCGCGTGCATTCTGGTTCTGCTTTTCTATTTTTACAAGCGCGCTTTTTCCAGCGCGAAAGCCGATTCACGAGCGTGTGTGTAAAGACGGCTATTAGCCGTATATTAAAATCAAGTCAGCGTGGTTAACCGCCATATAACTTGTTGTTGTAACATGGCAAATCCAAAAGTCTAATACAAAGAAAGTCCTTATGCAGATCGAATACAAAAGCGTCTTTTCCGCGGTAGGTTTACTCCCAATACAAAACATAACAAAAAGCAACTTTTTCGCGATATAAACTCACAACTATAATCAGTAGGTAGAACCTAATTACACGTCGTTGCAAAATCACAGAACATTAATACCGAGAGGTAAAAATATATTTTTGATATTGACGCTCATTTCTGTCACCGGCAAGACGACATTGACTAAAAGAGATTTTAACGCTGGTAGAGCCACGCGGCAACTTTTGCTATTGCATGTATGGGCCGGCTCGAGCCGGGTTGGCCGACTTCACGCGAACCTAAACACCGTCCACTACCATTTCGAGACGGCGAAGCCAGCCTTGCTCTTTCTGACAGGTGTACTTTCCGGCTGATACTTCGTATCTCTCCTACCCAAGGTACAAATTGGAACACTCCTTTGTGCCTCGGGCTGGAGTTTGCGTATACGTCAGAGAGTACATCTGTTCTTTACACCTCGGCAGTCCTGAAGGTTCGGACCTGTCCATCCTTTGGCTACGCGTAGACAGCGACGTGGAGGATGTGGAGGATCATACACCTTCCCTGTTGGTACCTTCTGCTGACCTCTCATCCGGACGGATATCAGGTTTCCGTCGATGCCTCTCTCGGCTCTTCGGACCATTGTCTGATCCAGAGTGTGGTGCCATTCACGCTCTCCTCGCGGTTGCGTTCTGCAGGTTGCCGCCGTGTTTGGCATTACAGGTCGGCGGATTGGGACGGAATGCGGTCTTTCTTTGCATCCTACCCATGGGGGCGGGCTTGCTTCTTGCCGGATGATCCCAGCGCTGTTGCTGACTCTGTCGCTGATGTGGTGCGACAGGGACTGGAACTATTTATGCTATCATCTGTGGTAGCCATTGGAGGCAGAAATCAGCCTTTGGTTTGGTTGCTCCTAGGTCAGGTCTGGGCTTGAGCTTCGGCGGCTCGGGGTGTAAACACCAGCGTGCTTAAAAAGAAGTATGACTTCGACTCCAGGTCCTTCAAAAGAGTTATTGCCAAAGCAAAGTCAGAGCACATACCCCGAATTGGCGAGAAACTAATTCACCTTCCTTCGAGAACCCGTGCATTCTGGTCTCTCGCCAAGGCTGTCCAAGGGAATTTCTGTAAGCCATCACTACCATCTCTGCACAGGGAGGACGACTCACTGGCCCACGCCGCAAGAGAAAGCCGTCCTTTTAGGCTTTCTTTTTGCGTCCGCCGACCATCCCGCGGTGTGAGTGCTCCATGCCGGATGTGCGGTTCTCACAGCGCTCGGTTCGCAAACCACTCCTCTCCCTAGACATCCACAAGTCGAGTGGGTCTGACAGAATCCCCCCAATTGTGCTGAGGATGTGTGCTCCAGATTTGGCACAGGTTCTAACGCGTCTTTTCCGGTACACCTACTCCCTAGGCGTAGTCCCGAAATCATGGAAGACAGCTTTTGTCCACCCGATCCCTAAAAAAGGCTACCGCTCAGGCCCGTCAAACTACAGGCCTATCGCCATCACCTCCTTGTTCTCCAAAATAATGGAATCCATTATAAACTGCCAGATCTTGCGGTAATTTTAGAATGATCATCTTCAACACTTGAACGATCGAGTCACTAGAAATAACCAATTGATACATATTATCTAATTGAAAACGCTTACCAATGCAATTCCTGGGGCCTGCGCTGAAGGCAAGCCAGCTGAATGGATTCCGCACATTAATCGATTCAAACCGTTCTGGTCTAAACTCCATGGGATCTTCGTAAAGCTCGGGCAGACGCTGCATATGAATTATATCGATAACCACTGATGTGTTTTTCTTGAGTTTTAAACCTGCGACTTCTGTAAATATGTAATGCATATAAATAAAAATGTTGTGAATGTACATGCCTAACATTTTATAATATTTGATATCTCCATATCCCGGACGCGATGGCGTATTTTTGACCTTCTAAAAGTACTTAGAGTGAAGGTCAAAAGAAGCCAATTTTGAATAAAAATATTTGCCGTTGACTTTGGCTTTGATATTGTTTTGTAGTTAGGACCTGGGCGACTGAGCTTTTCTTGGCATTAGAAAATAATGAACATAATTGTCTCAGGGATGACACTAATCTAGATAAATTTGGAAAGTAAAACATCTAAATACAAAATTTCATTCAAATCATTAGAGCCATTTCCGAGAAACCTAAATTTTCTTGCATAGTCATGAAACTTGGCAAAGAAAACATTATTTGGTGCTAAGTATTTTATATATGGCTTTACATTTTAAAGAAATAAGTGTACAAAGAAAGGTGTTTTTATACGAAGTATTGATTTATATGAGTTATAATTTAAGAAAAAAATAAAACTAAAATAAGATGTCGCAAGTTCGCCGTCACATGAAATTGTGTTCTCACCTCTGGAACGGGGCACCCAGTGCTAGCTCATTTGACCACATCCAGAGTGGAAACGCTCTAAATCGACGATAGCCGAGTTCTTTCTTATCGGCCTGAGTCACTGGCGCTGCGAAGAGATGTTGCATCCCTTTGCATATTCTATCGCATCTACAACTGAGAGTGCTCAGAGGAATTGTTCAGACTAATTCTAGCTGTTGAATTTCACCATCGCACATCACAACGAAACTTGCGATACCATCCATACAATCTGGATGATTGGCGGTCCACTACTGTGCGATTCACCAGAAGTTTTCTGCATCGCACAACTTCCTTGTGGAATCAACTACCGCTAGTGATTTTTCCGGACCGATACGACTTATGGACCTCCAAGAAAAGAGCATACTCTGTTTTAAAACGCCGACAACACACCCACACAGGGTACAACCCACACAGGGACCCATGAAAAACTACTGCAACATCTGATGTTGCAGTTTTTCATGGGTTGCGGCAGTCATTATATATACAGTTCTATGGCAGTCAGGCTGTCACTTACCACCAGTTGAGCTGCATGCTCGTTTACTCCTCTTATATGTATAAAAAGTGTCGGTTCGCTTTTACCGTCACCGTATCGAAATAATTTGTAAAATATTACAATTGCGTTGTCATCCGTGTTTTGTTATTTGTTTGTAAAAATTAAATTGAGTATTAATAAAATAAGTTATTTAAACATTAAACACTATTCTTTCATTGATGTGACCTGGCTTCAAAACGCAAAAACAACTACCTACCGTTAAAAATAGGACGACCTCTCGAAGGAAAATTATTATGGAATTTAAGATAAGATAAAAATACATTTTTATTGGTTTGAGAATATGCGTATAATGACCGCTTTGTGTGATCTTAGTCTTTAGGAGAGTGATATTATATTAATTTTAGTAGAAACGTATAAAAGTGTTATTTATTAATAATAAATAAATGCTTAGTTATTAATAAATAACACATAAAATCTCATAAGCAACACATAAAATCTCATCAGCATGCCTAAAACAAATTTTCCACCTTTGCTCCACATAAAGTAGGTTACTTAGCATAGTTGGTTATGCTACTCATTTTTGTTGGTATGGGTACAGTATCGTTGACTATTTATTTTTCTGTTTGTTTCTGTATATTTTTTATCGATAATCCCAATCGATAAACGTCGTCAATCACTTACTTTAACATTGGTAATTAAATAGTGACGTTTACTGGATAACAGAGGGCGCTTATTACTATAAAAATAAATGTTCTAGAACAATCTACTAGAAATAATAAAATTTAAAGATTATTCGGTAAATATATGTTATATTTACGATAATAAACCGAAATAAGGTTAATTTTTTGTTCCATATCGTGACTTACAATGTCTTAATGCACAATCGGGCATATTTTCTTTAAAATATTTTTTAAATATATGAAACGAATGCGTCTTGACTTTTTGACGATGTCACTAAGACTAAATGACAAAAATCGGAGATATATCCTATAGGACATAAGTTACAGACGACAATTTTGCTACTGATGTCCGGTCTAATATTACTACTTAAATGTCTTTGTTATAATTGCATTAGAGCTCTCTCACTAAATATGCATATAAAATTATTGTTATACTTTTTATTGTCTCCACCCGTTTATTTGCCAATTCACGGCAAAATCTGCAATTAAAAAAGTATTTTAACCGTATTTACCTTTTTTATGTACCTATTAAAAAAAAAGCTTTTTAAAAGTTTAATTGTAGATATTGATCCATATATGTTAGGGATACAAACAATCTTAACTTCTTATACTACAATTATTTTATAATTATTACGAAAGAAATCATGTTATTAAAAAATATTCAAGAACGATGTAACTTAAAATTGAAATAAATACCACCAACAGAAATAATTTACGTGCGTGACCTTTCGTGACTAATAACGTAGCTCTTGCCATTTAGAGTACTGTTCTGACTCCTGCTTACAGTTCTGACTCGCTTACGCGCGCTCTATAGCTTGCTTATAAATACTCTAAGTCGGGCTCCGATCAAGCCTCTAGTATGCTTATTTCGCAGGATGCTATTAGGATCGAATTTCACGATCTCTAGAATGAGCCATCTTTACAACAAACGCTGTGATCATCACTAAATCCTTAATGTATATTTTATGACAACATTGACTTTTTAGTAGTAGGTTAATGTATGACAACCACTAAATTTATAAAAACAATTTTATAAATGTAGCATTGTGTTAGTGATGATTACCTATATTATGTGATTGTGCATTATGTCCTAAATACTAAGTTGGACCAATTAAGATTTTTATTGGTGTAACAAGCGTTGGTAGTCTAATAAAATAAAATAAAAAAAACTATAAACTTAAACTTCATTTTTGCTCACTTAAAAGTTAAAACTCCTTCTTGCAAATCAGACGTAATATTCAAATTATCTAAGTTAGTATTATTAATATGTACCGAGAAGTTTTCGTATTGATAAATATTGATAACAGTTTATGATGATAACTAAACATATCATGTGCCCCTTTTTTGTATGTACATATAATTCATACATAATATCCGGTTTAGTGGCCAGGCTACATAAAAAATTAAAATATCTTTGGCACTATGTTATCCTGAGTCTATATATCAAAAGGAGATATGCAGTAGTGGACAGTGTAAACTCACAACATCATTATCACGTACAGGTTTATAGTATTTAAAAGCGTTTCTAATACCTCAACTATCTTTATGTTTTGTGACAATTTCTAGCACATAGCATCATTCATCATTCTTACCAGATTACTTACCAATGTCTTTCGTGACCATTCTTTCTATTAAAGGCACTGATGGAAATAGCCGCAATGATTCTTTGATAACCAGTTCCAAGTATTTCATTTGATGCAGTTCACTAGAAATAAACACTTTGATTACTTTATGTCAAAGAAATGTGTTATTTTTATAAGGTGACATGTGAGCACACGGAGGTACACATAATTGTAAATGAATGCTAAAGGGTATAGCCAATTATGTCTATCCTCCATTAAAAATCAAAATAGAGATGGGTTTAATCTCGTTAACAGTAAAAACAGTCTCCCGTTCTTATTACTCACCATACAAATCACAACACCATTACGGTATTATTTACGAGAGCCAAAAGTGATACCATTTCAAGTATTTAATCGTTGAAATTATTATGAGTAGTCTGCCTTAAGCTACCTTGATAAACTTTAAAGCATTGCTTTAAGTTGGCAATAATAAGTAAGCTATTTGTGTCAAACCAGCGTAATTTTTATCTCAAGTTTTCGTCAAGCATCGTTTACATCGTCCATTGAGTACCTAATTGTAAAAAAATACCGGTCGCACAGGTATGATTTTAATAGGCCACTGATTTTCTAAGATATAACATTTTTTTAAAGATATACAGTGCCGGCCTGAGGCAAGTTTTAGGATGGAGCGAGACCCAATTATGGCGCCCCCTTTGCTTGCCCCTAATATATACCAGTTGTAGGTGCACAAGCAAGCATGAAACTGGGAAGATCGCGTATAATGTAATATAAGTAATGTCGTAACGTCTAATTTGTCGATTGAAAACAGCCATGCTCGTGTTATTTTAGCCACTGCACTCCTTACGGTATTTATAGGAACCGTTGATGTAGAATGAAAAACAAGATTAAAAAGTAATTAAGATACATTTATTTAAATAAATCATAACAACAATAGACAATGAACCAAAATTAAGTCAACATTAATTAGTGAGATCAATAAGCATAATCAACTTTAGAACTGGTACTTATACGTTATGTTATATGTTTACTAAATAATGCAACAGTGCTTATTAAAAACAAACTCTTCAGGTTTAGCCTGCTGGCTCCTAATAATAATACAACCCATTGAATGTCGGAAAAATTAAAACAATAGCATAACAATAGCAATTAGGACCTGTATGTCCTTAAAACACTCAATGGGTTAGTAATAAACTATTCAAGTGCAGAACAAATTTTAATTAAATCGTGCATTTACAAATTTTTATATGACCTCCTCATACGATAATGTCTGAGCTATATCATTTTCAATTGACAGCAAGGCTAGATCAGAAAGCTTATCTTGTGCGAGAGTCGACCTCAGCTATGTTTTACTTAACTTAAGCTTGCTTAAACTGCGTTCATCTGTGGCCACCGTAATCGGAATAGTTACAAAAATCCGGAGAGCTGTCCAAATAATAGGTCTTTAACAATGAACTTGCCGTTCTGCAGTACTGGCCATTTCAAATCAAAATAATTTTTGTTTGGCTAAGAATTATAATTTAAAAATTATAATTCTTAGCCAAACTTTTATTTTAAAAACATGGAATAGTTTTTTCAAAATAAGTCATTTGTTTATTGATAACCGTCATGTTTTTATCTTTTTAATCATCATGGATACTTTAAAAATTCGAGTAATTATGGAAACTGAGTACCGTCGTGGCAGCAACGCGGCACAAGCGGCACGCAACATCAACGACGTTACGGAGCGACTACTACAAACTAACTCACCGCTCTGTTATTGGTTTTCCCGCTTCCGTTCTGGAAATTTCGACCTGAAAAATGAACTCCGTAATCGTCCGAAAACTTTGGTCGAATTAAAGGACAACGACTAATTAAAGGCGATTCTGGAATCTGATGATACTCAATGTACGGTTGAATTAGCAGCAGATTTCCACTTTAGCATCAAAACAATATTGGTCCATTTGCGTCAAATTGGCAAGGTAAAAAAGCTTAACATATGGGCGCCCCACGAACTTAATGATCGCCAGCGCGAAGTAGGCATCGAGACGTGCTTTGCATTGCTTAACAGGCACACATACGAAGTAATTTTGAATTGCATTGTTTTATGCAACGAAAAATGGATTTTGTTTGACAATCGTAAGTACTCCACAAGTTGGTTGGATCTTGATTCAGCACCTATATAATGCCCTAAGCGAAAACTTACCCCTAGAAAAGTGATGGCACAGCTTCTTGCCAAACAGGATGAGCATTACTGCAGATGTGTACTGTGAATAACTGAACACAATGATGGAGAAGCTCACACGTCTCCAACCAGCTTTGGTCAATCGCTCGACCCCGCTGCTCCATTACGGCAACGTGCGACTTCATACTGCACAACAGACTGTCTCCAACTTACAAGAGTTGGGGTTGGAAGCTCCCGTCATCCGCCGTACTCACCAGACCTTGCGCCTACGGACTTCTACTTTTTCCATTATTTAAATAACTTTTTGGCGGGAATAAAATTCAATACCCGACAGGCAGTACCAAATACCCTTGAAGAATTTGTTGCCTCCCCCGTCCAGCTGATTTTTTCAAGAAGGGCATCAATAAACTGCTACTGCATTAACAAAGATGCACCGATTGCATGGGTGATTACTTTGATTAATAGAAATAAAAAATATAGAAAAATACTTACGTTAACTTATTATTCTATTAACATTATAGAATAATAAGTTTTCCGTCAATATAACAATCACGGTCTTTGAAGGTAGTTTCAAAGGCCTCGCAGTCGCATTTAAGGGGCTTCTTGCGTGGCCCCAAACAAAAACACTTTCACTTCTTCAAGGGTAAAAGTGATCAAATTAATTAGTCATCTGTGGTAAAGTCTCGAGGCATCGCATTTTAGTGGGTCTCGCGAGGCCCCTTTTAGTGCGAGGCCGTGGGCGAGGGTCCAGTTCGCCCAAACGTAACTACGCCACTCTTACAATCATGTATGTAACATAATTAACAACAAAAAAGAAATTAGAAAGAGCTTGGTTGTGATCACCTCATTCCCAGGGGTTATCATCCATAAATTCCTTAATTTTATAATAAACCTTTTTATACAAAATAGTTTATTAAAGTTTTTGAACTTTGAGCAGGTTTTGTATATTTTCTGGGATTTTGTTAAGGTGTGTGTATGTATATTGAGTGTGAGTGTAATATATTAAGTTAATGCTCTCATTGAATAATATTAACAATATTGTGAACACAATAATATATGTTCTCAATTAGCGAGCAACTTTTTATGGGTGTAAGTGTTGATTTTTTTACAAAATAGACTTAAAAAAGTATTTCTTAACGTTAAATTGTTGATTTTTACTTGAAAATAAATAAATATGTTACTGCATGACTATTACAGTTACTGTTTTTGATTAACATGCATTACCTATCTGTATATGTATAAAAATATACCAGATTCCAGTATAAAATCTAAAAATGAGCATGTCTAAAAAGGTTCGGTTTCGGTTTCGGTTTCGGCCGAAACTGACACCCAGATCGAAGGTTCGTTTTAGGTTTCGGTTTCGGTTGAAAATCTTGTTTCGGTCGGACACTAAATATAAGATTTAATTGTGGTCAAGATTCGTTTAACAAGTCTCCGTCAAAACAATATTTTAGTTTAAGGAAAATGTCTAGTTACACATTCAAAACATAAAAGCTTTATAATTTTATGTTTTTAATTTCACATTATATCCATTTCTTATAGGATATAAGGGTGACAAACTAGCACACAGTCGACCTGATGGTACGTGGTTACTGTGACCCATAGACATCTATATATATCTTCGATTACGAATCAAAATGCAGATGCGTTGTCACCCGTGAGGACTTAGATGGAATACCTCGTTTCCAGTAAAAAGGGTCTCCAGGTGTCCACACTTACCACACGATGCTGCTTTCGTACAGTAAGTAAGTAGCGTTAAGCTGCTATTTTACGCTGGCATTCTGTGAAGGCGTGGTCCTTCCCCGGCCGAGGCGACCCATTCGTTCTACTATCTATCACTACTTGTCTATCAGCATCAAAAAGTCCCTGCTAGCGTAAAACCAATATCAGGTATGTGACAACGCCGGCAGATGCTAAATTATATATATAACTCAAAAACTATAAAAAAAAATATTTATGATATTTGGGATTTAAAGTATTCTAGGGATTCTTATTAGGTATGAAAATTTACATATTATCTACATACTTGTAATTTACATCTTGTTTCAAGTATGTAGACAAGTATAATGGGCGCAAATAAAAAACTCTGTTAATAAAATAAATGAACATATATGTAGCGATTTTTCAAATAACCTCTTTTCGGGGGGGGGGGGGGGGGGGGGGGGTTTGGGTGTTCAAACTTGAATGGAATGTAGTACCAGTGTCAGCAGCTAACTTCGCACCTAGGCTCGGTCAGGCCGTGAGTGGGTGTGAGGTGAATGGCAGGTAGTGTTCAGTGATGTGTAAATGTGTGAGGCCTTGAACACCTTAGTTGAACAGCAGCGGCCGAGTTCCAGGCTGCCCCAAAATGCTGCATCGCTCCAGCAGGCTCCACCGCTGGACCATTTCTTTTTTCCTTGCCACTATTTCAGTCTATTAGCTTCATTGTACATTTAACTAACTTAAACTCGCCTAATTCCACACTCATCGCAGAATCGAACACGTGACACCCGACTCAGTAGGACAGTAGTTCCAATTCGACACTCAATGTCCCGGATTCACTTATCACAAAATTATAAAGAGGGAATTAAAGCGATCCCTTAATGAGTCATACTACTACTACTCAGCGTTAAACACAACTAAGCTCCTTCATTCGACACCAAAACACCACGTCGCGAAAAGATTCAAAATACGCCTCGTTGACACGTAAACCAACAAGCCAACACACACAAAAAAGGGCACTTAACGCGACGGCACAATTATAATGATTTCCTGACGATCAACCGGGAAAAGCTCTCGAACAAGGAATGTGCGGTTCGAATCCTAGACCGTATATCTACTCAACGCGCGCGTGCACAATTCCGCATCCCCGAACAAGTTAAATATTGCAAAATTCACATATCCACGTAAGGAAGTAACACGCCCTTAATCTAACTATCTGGACCCGACAACGGTCGCGTGAACTTCGGCCGCGATTAACCAGCTACGCGGGTTCCCCGCTTTGCGGACAGTGGACAACTCCCCCATCATCGCCCACGCGTCGAGCCACCTCGGCGCTTATCTCACCTACATACTATCGGGTGACACGCCAGCTCGAACGCAATTGGGTGGCGTTCAAACATGACCAAATTTGGGCATAACCAACGTCTATAACGGTACCTTAAGCCCTCTTAAAATCTGTCAAAGTCTATTAATTAAAAGTACCTGTATGTTGGTTCCCTATTTAAATTGTCCTTGAAAATAGTTTTTTGTTCAGCAAAAACTTTATCTTGAACTTCCTTGTGCCTTGACATACAGAATAATGTAAATGAAATAGCGGATGTAGTAGTATCGTGACCCTGAAAATGGAGCGACATTTAAAAAATATATAATGATTTCTTATATTTACGCGAACACTACACTTTGAATAAAACTACTTTACGGATTCGGTATATCGAGTTTAATTTTGCTTATTTTTAACTTCCGACGTTCGATTATTTTGCAGCATCTGTGGTGACCAGGGGACTGAGTTGTTTGATGTCTCGATGTCTTAGTTATTGTATGTTGAAGTCTTGCAGTGGTATCTTAGCATATCATAGTTTGGATTTAATTTTATTAATTGCAGGTTCGATCAGGTGGTAGCACCCAGTCGTCATCTCTTTTGAAATTAGGATGTTTTTTTGATTGCAATAGCGTCACGAATTCTCGATATCCATGTTCCTTTTAGAGCATTTGTGGTCTATCAAATTCTGATGTAAATATGATGATTCTGATGTAAACAGCAGGGGCCGTTTCAAGCTTGTATACTCCTGGGTACTGTACCGGTATTGTGGATGTGACCAACTAATATTAAACACTAACGCTCCGTGAAGTCTGCAGTCTGTGGTCGTATTATAGGCGCAGGAGGTATTATTTATATTTATGCTTATGATAAAAGCTGTGCAATGGGACCGCAGTTGCTCAATGATAAGAGACGTGTAATGACAGTTTTATTAGATTTTAATGAATCTATTATACACGAGGTAATAGGATAAAGTAATATACCCAAATGCAAATCTCAAAAGCTTGAGATGATTCGTATAGTTTTGCGACTCTAAATGTCTCACATCACAATTCTATAATCGCTTTGATCCTATAGTACTTATTATATCGAAAAAATTTAGGATGCTTTGTCAGGCTTTACTAGTAAGTTTAAAATGGGTTATCTTGTCGCTCATACCACTCAGTTTAAAACGAAGGGTCTTCAACCCTTGTACGAACTGTACCCAGTTATGGATTTTAAACGAAAGATGGCTAGCACAAACTGGAGCAGAGGATAAATCCTAACATCGGGTTTAATAAAGCCTCTTGGGAGTTGGGAGTAGCCAATGTTAAAAACGGCGTACAACACGGTGTATTAAACATTGGCATTATGTACTTAAAATTTTATTTGGAACTGATACCCGGCAACTGATAGCCGGCGCGTTGCAGCCGCAGAAGAAATAATTGTGTAAATTTCGTTTTAAATTTGGAAGAGTTGTATTGTTTGATTAGGAATAATAATACATTCATTGAAGTTGAATGATATATAGCTTTCAGATAAATTTGTCGTTACGATACCAGCGCCACCTAGTGTAAGTTAATTGTACTATGTCTATTACCTTCGCGCAAGTGCAAACAATAGGTTGACAAAGTTTTACTGCAATCCGATGAACGGTATGGCATCGCATAAAATACGGACAAACAAATATTAATTTTTATATATTAGATTATCCCAAATACGCGAGCTCCTATGTGTGCGATTGAATTCACAATGTTTTCGCCGACCGAGCAGCCCCTGTATCCTATCAACATTCCAGTTCCATCTTTTACAATTCCTTTTTAAAAACTCTAGATGATATCGTACAGGTGATCGTCCATATGAATCAAAATATTGACCGACGTCATTCGTATCGATATATAAAGCTACCCAATGTGACCCTGGTTTATCATCTGTATCCAAATTACATATTATATACGTTGGTACGTGGGTATACATAGGCAGTCTATTAGCTGCATAAACATTATTTTCTAGACTGGGGTGAATCTTTTTCAGATGTTGTTGTACATCTAGTGTATCCATGATATTACTGCTATTAGTACATTATTACAGTACCAATCTACTCAATGAATAACATAGGAATGGTCAATTATAGTGATTTCTAAATATTAAATTGCATTTTTGTGTTATACAAATCGTACTTGAGTCATTGATCACCAAACAAAACACAATACGAAGAAATGTTGAGATAGACAACGGAAATGTGAGATAAACTGGTTGACGCATAAAGTAATTATCAACTCATTACGGAAATACTTTAGATTAGAATTTTTACGTACTGGTGGTATATAAGACCAACAGACGCAGTCATCGAGTTAGTGTACGGTCGTTTGACTACAGTGGATCTATCAATAGTACATTTGTGTTACTTCAATACACCAAAGGCTATGGATGTAAGTGTTTATTCTATTGACTAAATTACTTTTTTTCTGTTATTTTCATGTGTGTGTATTATTTTATTTAAATATTGTGTATGTATATGATTAAGCCGTGGTAACTCAGATGGTTAGCGCTAGCTGTAAATTTCACAGTACGCGACCCGGGTTCGATCCCCGCCAGCACCAATTAAATTGTTAATCGCAATTTTAAGTGCTTATTACCACGTGCTTGGTGGTGAAGGAAAACATCGTGAGGAAACCTGCATGTCTGAGAAAATTTCGAAGGCATGTGAAGTTCGCCAACACACATTGAGGGAGCGCGGCGGACATTTCCTTGCTCTAAAACCCTCTCAGAAATGAGAGGAGGCCTATGTTCAGCAGTGGACTTTAATAGGCTGTAACTTTAACTTTTTTAACTTTTATGATTAAGTGTTAACAAATTGATATTAACATGATAACTGTGTTGTTGCAGAAATCATTGAGCTTCGATGAAGATACCTATAAACAGTATTACTACTCGCCACTCTCCCCTCAAGAAGAGAGTGATAACCTCGTCATTAATAATAACACATGCGATGGTGGAAAAAGAAAATCGCAATCGATTGATCATTTTTTTGAAGCTGAATCAAAAATAAAAGAGAGGAAGCTGTTATCATCAACCGTAGCACGAGCCGCTAGAGATGGTGTATCATACATTTCTACTAATTCTGACGACGGAGACCAAGCGACGCATCTCATCAAAATTGAAATGTACGATATGAAGAAGCTATCCAAGATTCCAACTACTGATCATTGGAAACATGCTTCCACGAGAATTAAATATTACGTAAAGACTAATAAGGATAGCATCTACGACAACACAAACGCCCTCGTATACAATATAACAAAGACAATAGCAGAAAGTGAAAAAGTTAAAAAATACATTTTTAACAATGACAATCATTAGCTGATCATTAGTGAATGTGATTCTGTTTACTTCAATTACAGGAAGACAAGAGCGGAAGGAAGAGATGAGTGTGGCATACGTGTACAAAACACATCATTGAATAACAAAACTACAACACTGAGTGGAGAAGAAAACGAGAAGAGTATGCAGTACTCAAGAGCTGAATATCCATTCTTCAGTTCAAAATCTAGCCGTTTGCTTAGTTTCGAAAACTGGCCTCTCGTTATGCGACAGAAACCTGAAGATCTTGCAGAAGCTGGTTTCTTTTATACTGGCCATGCAGACGGGACCAAGTGTTTCCATTGTGGTGGTGGTTTAAAAGATTGGGAAGATGATGATGATCCTTGGCAGCAGCATGTTCAGTGGTTTAGTCAGTGTGCTTATGTAAAATTTCAACTCGAACAGTGTTTTGTATTAGATTAAATAGAAGATTTATAAAGAAATAAAAAAAAAATATATTGCATACAATTTGTTTTATTTAATTTTATAACGTTTCACTTAGTTACATACACACAAAATGCATTACACATAACACATAAAATCTAACACACAACACATATTATAACCTTAACTACTATAGTCTACAGTAACATTTCTGTTTTTATCTATCTCAATAATATTATCAAACTCAGCATAAACTATACAGTTAATTGTTTGTATTAATGAGGATTCAAATCGTACTTCTATTCTTACACTACCATGCTTTATGAGATTCCAATGAGTTGATGAGTTAGCTGATAAATCAGGAGTTAAGTCAAATGCTAATAGACAGTAACCTTTGCCATACTGTTCACAAGAGATTCCATTTCCTTCATTAAGAAAGTGAATACCAGTTCCCGACAATAGAGTATGATATGCTGATGTAAATATGCTATTATTAAAAGATGGTTGCAAAGCTTTTGAAGGTATTTGTTGACCATCAATATATAAGCTGAAAGACTTAATACCATAGTTTTCAAAGTTAAATGGATTTTTAGTAAGGGAACCATTAAATGCAGAATTGTTCACAAATCCAATTATACATCTTTTCGGTACCTGTCCTAAAAATATATTATCAAGAGTTTTTCCTTGAACACCCGAAGGAATTGTTAAAACTTTTACTTCAGCTCGAGTAATAGGATATTTAGCAGTGGTAGAAGCTAAAACTTTTTGATGTGCGAGTAATACACTTGGATTAATTCGTGCCCGTCGAACAATAAGAGTTGCGTCCGTAATGCAAACTTTAAACTTTACATCGTTTGACCCAACAATTAAATTAAAACTCTCTCTTGATCGAACCAATTTAACACTCATTTCAACACCATTAATTAAAAATTTATCTTGGTTAAAAATGTCACCGTGAAGATGACCAATCATTTCTATTTCCTTACTTTCACTAATCAATTCCTGTCTTTTAACAAATCCTATGTTTTACCATCTGTAGAATCCATTTTCCTGCTGTATCCTCATACCAAAGACTACAAGTAAGATGAGATTGTTTAGCAGCAGGGGCATAGTTTAAAAGGGTTTCCATGTATGCTCGATATGCATAGGTATTATTAAGTGGTGATACAAGTTTTTGGTTTAAATAAACATCAAGTTGACTAAAAAGTGAATGCAGCCAATTATTTACAGGTGCTACTATTGTAGTAGATACCAAGTTAGTTGAATCTTGATTTAATACTTTTGCCTTTATGTGGAGTAATGTATGAGACAAATCTATGTAGTCATCGCCGGTCCCAGGAACTTGAAACTCGATAGGTCCATCATCACCAAGAGATGAAATTGGTTTATAATGAATCCACAATCCATTTTCAATGCTAGTTTGTGTAGACGGTAGTGCAAACAAATCCAATTCTGACTTAACGCACTCACAAGAATGATTATGAAGGAAAGACATATTTAGTTTGAAAATATATCTTTGATATTTTTTGGTTTTAGACAAAGTTTTTTCGCAGCTTTCACTTTAGCAGTTAA